AAGACATAAAAAAATAAACAGAAGTTTTAATAATCAAATTTGAAGGGTTTGTTTCTATTTAACTAAAATGAGAGTGTAAATACTACACTGTTTGTAGGCAGTAGTTAAGTAATACCTTAAACCACTTCCACCGAGGGTCGACAGAGTTTTCTTCAACTGGTTCCGGCTTCACTAGAAGTGTGTTATGCAGTTGTAGAACCGCATTTAGGACTTCATTGACATAAATACTAACTGTGTGTCCCGACCTTTTAAAGTCAAACTTCACAACACGCATTTTTTTATGGTGTGCAATAACAGACAAGAAAATAGCAACCTTTTCTGGAACCGACACGTATTTTGAATCCTTCAAGCCAACACCATGTCTTAACAAATAACACAACCTATTGAACACATCGCAGCTCATTCGTAAGTTGTTCAAACAATCAGGATCACTGAGTCCAACCAAAGCAGTGAGGTGATCTATTTGTCTTGGTATTCTCTCAGCCATCACGTATCTTACATTTTTTGTTACTTGCTCCCTACCAATACTACAATGATATCCAATTTGTGCAGTAACAACGGCCATTACTACACAAATTTGAATCATTATCTCTTCAATTAGTAATAAAATTTCTGCTCTGCGCCTTGAAATCTCTGGCATTATGTTTGATTGGAAAACTGCAATTGTTCAAATTTAAATAGAGCATAAAAATTTTCGGTCTACGCTCTTCTACATTGTTGTAACAAACTGATACAGAAAACAAAACTAGTTTGTATACAAACCCAAACACATGACTGGAAAAATGCAAGCACACAAAAACGAAGGAAATCAAACATATATTCAAAAAAATTGGACATAAATCCAGAACACGTACACTTTACCCAGAAAAGTAGCACGACATTCACGAGACAAAATACTTCGTCTTCAGTATGTTCTGTTTCAAAAATTGGGCGAAATCAAGCAAAATTCAGGGAGATTCAACGAAGTAAAATCGGAAAGAAGACACACACGTACACAAACATCAGATCTATCAAAAAAGAAACCGTGATTGAAGGAAGTCTCGATGAAATAGCAAAGGTTCATCTCGCGTACCTTCGTCGCGTGGAGCAGAAGCGGAGCATAGGGTTTGTCGAGATGAATCTGGCAAATGGCAGCTCAATTTTAGGTTACCATCTTTTATTCGAGGGTAATTTAGTCTTTTGGAAACAAGAGCTTTTTACATGGGAAATGGTATCCTGCCAAACCCATGTGATGTGTTATACCAAAAATTGTTACAACTAAAACCGGGCCTCGTCAATTTCAAGGGCTGGGGTTATTTCAACCAAACACCTTAAAGGGTGTTAATGCTTAATAAATGGTGTGATATCCCTCCTTATCACCCCAACCAATCACACCCTAATAATGTTACGAACAAGCATAACAAAATATAAGCATATATAAGCCCAAGGACTAGATGCACAGAGATACTTTTATTTCTAGCTAGATGCACAAACACTAGATCCAGATACCTCCATTACAAGTTCAACACCAAACCGGAAAAAAAAAAATAAAAGGAAAAAAAAAAAAAAACACACGATGATGTGCTACATCTTCTTATTATTGGATAATCGATTCCAAGACTAGATGAGATTAGGCCTTCAATACTGGGTAAAATGGCACATTTGTGGCAGGGCACGCGCCTTCTGGGCCATCTTCTCCATCTCCTGAGTCCCATACTGCTGCTTCATCTGCCCCATCATCCGCCTGACGGCGGGCCCACGGCACTGGGGCCTTATGTTCGAGAGCTCCTCACAGCACTTCTCCAGATGCTCCTCCTCGGAGCTCCTCGGATTAGCCACCGCACTCCTCAAGAAGGAAAGCTCGTATTGGCCGCCCATGCCGGAGCACATGTACTGCATGCAGTGGGTCATTTTCTTCGTTCTTATTTCCGACTCGCACATCTCCTCCTGGCCCTGGGGGTTGGCCTCCGTGGTGGTGGTGGTGATTACTGTGGTGGTGTAGGTGGTGGCGGCTGAGAGGGCAAAGAGGGCGGCGAAAACCAAGGCGAAAGCCGTGAGTTTGGCCATCTTTGTCTGGTTAATATTTATATATTATATTGATGTAAATATTTTTGTGGTGTTTGGTGGGTGTGGAGATTGATGAGTGTGAGGGTGTTGGATTTATAGGGAGAGTGTGGTGGGTGCATGGCGAGCACGTGTGGGAGATGGGCTCGAGAGGTGTCGAGAGGAGGAAGATGGAGGTTTACACGTATGCTTCTTGTGTTGTGTTGCCATTTTTTTTGCTCATGTGAATTTGTTTATGTGATGTTGCTTTGGTTTGGTAAGTGTGTGTGGGTACAGCTCATGACATTGGAGCCCGTGAACGTTGTTAAACTTGTTCGGAATTATTTATGCATTGAAAATATTTTAGATGAGTTGATGAGTCTCAAAAAATGGGAAATGCTATGGTCTCGTCACGGTACTATTCTGTCGGGTGTTTTAATCGCTGAATCATCTATTTTATCTAACTATATGTAGATCCAACAATTAAAACACCCGACGATATAGTATTGTAACGACCGTAGCATTCTATAAAATATGTGTATATATTTATCAACATGAGGGAAGATTTGATGTTTAAATGTGGATTTTGTTATATTTTGAAGAAAAAAAAAAGTTGGATTTTTATTATATATTTGATTGTTTTCCGTTGTCTTCCACTAAGCGAGAAATTTTGGTCAATCTAAACGAACCATTTTTTTAAAGAAAATTATTTGGTCCATTTACAAATTAATTTATTCGTACATTTACAATATTTGTTTTTTATTATATCATTTGTTTTTAATTAAAACTATGTTTTGTTTATAATTCGTGCAAAAATGTTATATTTATGGTTTTAAGTAAGTAAAATGACTATTTTTTTATTATTTTTTTTTTTATTTTTTATAAAGTGATAGGGAAATGAAAAAGATAATCTACTGGTGCATGACTCCGGGAAAAAAAAATTATCCGACGGCCCTCAAAGATTTATATTTATCCCTATTCGAGGTGATTTTATTTTTTAATTCAATTTTTACACTGACAAACCCTATGATGATGATGATACACATAAGAGGTTACGGGACGATAACCAAATATTAATTCACTAACAATATCATAATCATCAACTATTTGTCTTGTTTAATTAACAACAAATATCACTAACGATACTAGTTAATCCAAAGCTCACACGTTTAGTTTAGTTGAATGAAACACTCTGCATTATAATTTCCATAGTCGAGCAAACAATGTTAAAAAAAATTATTGTTGGATGTGATTATACAAATATAAATTCTTATAGAAAGCAATCTAATTAACCGTTAGACGATCGATTCAACATACTCGTTATCTGAATAAAGTAACATGCATACATAATTTTCGAAATGTCATACTTTTTTTTATGTTATCAATTATGAATATCTAATCGTTAGGCCTACTATTAACAACAAGTTTGATGTAATAATATAAAAATGTATGTTTTCTTACTAAAAATTACACAAATAAATATGGTAATAGAATGAGAAGTTATTGAACGATGTCTTCTCAGTCAAATGATTTGTGCTAAACATATGTTTTTGTGTATCCCTATTTACTCATGAGTCGTGACGATATTAAAATACTGATTTGCAATAAAAATATTCTTATCCATAATTAAGTTCTTTAATCCTTAAAATAATATCTAATTACTGTCCATATAATTAAGTTCTTTTAAGCCTTAAACTAATGGAAAATGCCCGTTACGGATAGTTGATCTAACGGTTACGAATCTCGACAAAATGATTCCGTAACGGGACCATAACATCTTCCTAAATTAATATCTAATTTTCGTCCATGTTTTTTTATATTATACGATAGTCCTTCAGAATTTGAAATTTATAATTTTTGTGCCTTACTTTTCACGCAAACTTTACCCCATGGAAGTAGTACAAACTGTACAGTACTACTTAACTAATAAAAATAAAAAAACAGATGAAATAAAATACCACACAAACATTTATGAATTTGACATTTAGTTGACTCTAAAAGCAAGTGAATCAGCTAATATTATATACTATATTTTACACCTCAATATTTTAGGAAAATAACTAATTAATACTCATAAGACGTATGTTTAGTTGGATATTAATAATTTTTATACTGGTTACTGCCTTTAATTAAATTATTAGGAGTGACTTAATAATCTGAAAACAAATATAAACAAAAATAACCAGAAACAAACCATAAAACATTTTGATCAACATAACAAATATCTTACCATTCTTCAGACAACAGAATAAAAAAAAAAAAGAAAAAAGAAAAACACATAGGCTCTACTCACTCAACCCTCACGCGGTAGCCATCATAGGCTTCACCCTCAACCTGGTGGAGCCTGGGAACGAAGATCTTCAACAGCCCGTCTTTCATCTCCGCTGTGATCTCCCTCAGCTTGCACATGGTCTCCGGCACATTTCCAATACGGTAGCCCATGGAGATCTCCTCTTCGTCTTCGAAATCCTTCTTTTTCCCCACAATGTGCAGCTCGTCATTCTCGGCCCACACCCTAGCGTTCTCCTTTCTCACTCCCGGCATGTACACAGCGAGGTGCATGCCCTCCGCCGTGGCCTTGACCTTGTATCCATAGCCGTTGGAGCCAGAGGAAGGGGCCCCCGGCGATTGGCCAGGGATTTCGTATGCCGTGCCTGCGCACACAGGCCAAGTTTCAGAAAAAACCACCGGAGAACATATACCGAGGGAAAGAAAACAGATCCCAAACATGACATAAAACTGCAATTGGAAGAGAAAGGGAGAAAAACCGAAGGAACTCGTACTAAAGATACAGCTACAAATTGCAAAACAACACAAACGGCAGATAAATGAGAGGCGATTATATCGAAAATCAACACAAAACAGCTTCGGATAAACAGATCTGGACTCCTAGAAGTCGAATCTCAAATTTATCCAAACACACGCACGAAAAGAAAAAAAAAATTACTCAAAGCAACATAAGGGATGGATGCAGAAAAAAAAAATGAAAATGGAAACGGAGAAGAAAGAAGCAAAGTACCATAAGGGCTGTAAACGCCCTCATAATCGCCGGCGAGATCAGGTGTAGCGTAAGGGATATGTGCTGCCATTGTTGATCCAACTGATGGTGATTGGTGTGTTGATAGAAATTTGTTGGAGACGATGGTGTTTACTGAGAGGCACCAACGGTCTATTTATTGGGCGAAAGGAGTCGGGTTAAAACTTAAAAGGGTTCGAGAATGTTCTGCAGGATATGCAAAATGTAATTGGGCTCTTTAATGGGCTTTGTTCTTTAATTATGTATGGTATGTGCTTTATTTTGAACAAGATAGATTGATGCCCGGCCCAAAACGTCACCAGCTTTTGGTTGAATTAGTTTAATGGTGAGAAGTGAGAACAAGTAATAAAGGTGTAAATGAGTCGAGCCCAGTTGAGACGAATCGATGTGAGACGAATCGATGTTGTGCTCAATGTCGGAATACATGAGCTCAAGCCTTTATGGAGTCAAAGTCGAATCCAACTTGTTAACAAAATAAGCTAAATTGAAAGTCACATAAACTTTGTGAAGATTATAACTAATTAATTATTAATGTGAACTCATCGTCAACAGGAGAAATTAATACAATATGTAGAATAAAGATGAGAAAAATTGAGACCTAAAATTAAGGTTATATAATGAATTAAAAAGTATAAATAGTATGAACTATATATTCATTAAAATAACATAGTACACATGTATATCAATTCCATTCTTACACTTATTTGTTTGTCTAGAGCCATCCTTTAATTTTCTACTACCCAACATATTATTTAACTCAAAAGAACCAAAAAAAAAACAAAAAAA